CAAATCGACCAAATAACGCTCGATAGGGGAAACACATGTACTTGGAGATATATATATATATATATATATATATATATATATATATATATATATATATATATCCAGTTATGGTCGTGAACACATCAGCGGTAGACCGGGAAAAGCAGAATCCATATTGTTTGTCAGAGAATAGGTCATGAGAGGTAAGATGCTTAACCAGTTCAGTTAAACCCTCGAAGACTTGGTAGGAGGCCGATATTTTGGTAGATAGAGAGGTCAGGAGGTTCACCAGAGTTCTTAAAAACATGGACGAAGACTTCCAACAAACTGGAAAGCAGGAAGCATCGAGTAAATAGTAATATAGTTTGGAGAGAACTGGAACCGCCTCAGGATCACATTTCTTTAAGGCAACGTCTGGTATTCCATCACCTCCACCTGCCGTATGTGGGTCTAATTTAGAAATGAATGTCCGAGACCAGCGTCGGTATTATGCACATATCAGCCTGTAGAGCATCAGTTCGGGCGTGGGTGGATCAGGTATAGGTACTCCAAACGAGTCGAGTGTTGAGTTGGATGAGAATTTCCGAACAAAACATTCAGCCTTTCATCTTCTGTGGATGTCAGGACTTTGAAATGATTGAATAGACGAGGAATTGAGGTTTTTTCTGCAGTTCAGCACGCTCTTGCAGAGCCGCCAATAATCTCTTGAAACGAACTTGATGCTATACGCCGATTCATTCTGTCAGCAAGCAGCAATTTGGCTTCATCGAGAACACGCTTGCATTCGTTCCGAGCAGAGACGTCTTTTTCAATCGGACTTGTCGCCCTGGTACAGTTGGAAAAAGTGATTCCTGTGGGCTAAAGCAGGAGAGAACCAGGGAGACGAACGTGGTTTAACTTGGTATTACTTACCTGGAATGAAGGCATCAAATCAATGCCGACTTTCACCCAGGATCCCTCCCACGTGTATTTCTGAATGGGGTGATTAAAAACCTCATTCTAAAGGACGTTTTGATAACAGAAAGATATTCTGTCGGTAGGAGGGTAATGACAAGGGGGGAGAGGAGGTAGATGTTTACAGATACCACAGTTGATTCAGAATTGCCAAGAGTGTGTACTAGTGTTGTTAAAAAGATTGTTGATCTTATCAGATTATTGTCACCTAGAAACTATAAGTAAATTCTGGCATAGCTGCAGTGCTAACCTGTGGGTTTTGAACAGGCACAAATGAACACCGGTAAGTGTCTACCACATTGTGCACGTGAAAACAAGTGGCATAGGTTTACCATATGTCCCGGTTTATTCCATGATGTCCTAGTTTGAGATATTTGTCCCGACGTCACACAAAAGATATAAATGAACAGTAATTTTTTTAGTGTAAGTGTATGTTTAATTCCTGAAATGTAAAGGCTGTTTAAACTAATTAAATATGAAAGTACCTAAACCTATATCATACTTATTATAAAACCCAGATTGTGTGTGTTTGTGTGTGTGTGTGTGTGTGTGTGTGTGTGTGTGTGTGTGTGTGTGTGTGTGTGTGTGTGTGTACGTTTATATATTGGATCGGATTTCCTACATTTTTCAACCGATTTCAACAAAACTTCACAGGACTACGTAAAATTACCTTGCGGTGGTTCTGACAGTGCCAAAAATTGGAAAAACACAATTATTTTTGCACGAAATCAATTTGAAAACACTATTAAGAGGCATTAATGAAAGGGGGACAACTCATATCGAGTTATACTTATTATAAAACACAGGTTGTTTGTGAGTGTGTATCTGTGTTCGTTTATATATGGGATCGGATTTCCTACATTTTTCAACCGATTTCAACAAAACTTCACTTTTTCTTTTGGAAGGTAGTGTTTCTTATTGTCTTGCACACTTTTTTCTTTATTTTTACATTCAGAATGCTTAAAAAATTCCATTTGCAAGACAATTGTTTATAATAAAATTCTAATCAATCGGTAGACTCATATAACGATTGAAAACAATGTTTTTGTTCGAGTTTGGGTTTGACCAATTCGTAAAAAAAAAAAAAAAAAAAAAAACTAATTAAGACATGCGTGTCCGTCAACCTTAAACAATAATCTTTGTCAATTTTATTTTTCAGTCTTTATGATGGTCGATACTTGATCTATCTCTTACAGTTACATCCCCGGGCAACGCCGGGCTCTACTGCTAGTATTTATATCAATTGTAAGGGTAGACTGTAGGGGGTGTCAGCAAAGGGAACAGACCAACATGCAAATTACAAATTGGAAATACCAAAACCCAGCAAGTACAAAAATTTACATTTCTAGAAAGTGTTTTAAGAACACGAAGGCGCGAAAATGAAAGATGCCTTCCAAAAGCTAAGCAGAATATTAACAGGAATAAAATTGTTAAAACCAAAGAAAAAAGTACTGGAATGTTATGTAATATCGATCCTCCTATATGGAAGTGAATGCTGGATAATCTTCTCAAAGATGAAGAGGGGACTTGGGGGTAACAGAAATGTGGTTCTGCAGAAGGATAATGAGAATAATGTGAGCAACAACAAATTTTTTGGAGAAAATGCAAGCAAAAAGGATACATATCATCAGAAAGATGCAACTGAAATTTCTAGGGCACATAATTTGGAAAGAAGGCTTAGAAAATGTGACACTCACGGGAGATATTGAAGGCAAAAAGAAAGAAAAGACAAAGGAAAACAGCGCATGATTTAAGTAATTATGTAAATGGATGACAGAACAGAGTTTAAGAGTGATAGCAAAAAGACTAATTTTACTAAGCGCTACAAAGAACAGGAAATTGTCAAGAACTATGATTGCCCACGTCCTGGAGTGGAACCAAAAGAAGCTACTCCCTTAGATTAAATGAAAAAAGTCCGGTTCGGAAATCCCTGTAGGTTAGTCGAACCTATAAACTCCTGATGAAACGCAGATGGAACGAAGACCGAAACATTGTGAAAACAACGATAAAGACGAAGACAATAATCTGAATGTAAGTAATAAAAACGGGAATTATAATTATTTCATTTTTATAAAATTCAATACGAAATAAATATTTTGCCGCCAGCTTTTAAATATTTTAAGTAATTTTAAACAAAAAAATTTAAGTTCACGCAATAAACAAGCAATAAAAATTATTTTAAAATGTCGAAATGCCTTAAAAATAGTTAGGTAAAATTAAAAATTATTAAAAAAAAATTAAAATGCGTTAAAAGCTGTTTTATGTAAATTTTCTAAAAAAATTACATAACATATCTTCTTTTCTGGTGAGTTGATTATTTATTAAAACAAAGAAAAAAACTTATAAACAGCTTATGTGGAAGGAAATATTAATTAAAAATTCATTTTTTTTTTTTTTATAGAAGACATATGTTACATTGTAGATTTATTTTTCATTGATTTAACTACAAAAAACAATTGCCTAACTAAACCTCTGAATACACCACTCCTCGAGTTTTAAAACATACACAAATTTTCTCTTACAACTATCAACTATGTCTCCGTCCGATACACATTTGTTAACGTTTCATTTACTGACATATTTTTAAGGGACCCTTTGATAAATATCTGAGATACAGGCAACACATTGTGATTCTATTGTCTGAGGCAAAGTTATTTTATAGCAGCTCTCGGAAGGTGATACGTTGTAATGTAGTAAATGTTGAAAATGCCTAACTGCTCGAACTGAGTGCGACATGTTGATGGGATTTTATTGTAAGTAGACACACAAAAGTTGGATGTTAGTTTTCAAGTTAGATTTACTCTAGGCTTTACGTATAAAACTTTGATTATTAAATCACTCTTTTTCTTTCTGTTGTTCTCCTTCAGGATGTGGGCGATCATGGCCCGCCATAACATCTTTTTTGTAGCTCTGAGTAAGGTTTGTTTGTCTATTTGCTATTTTTCGTAGTCCATGTAACCGTATTTTTTTTACAAAAACTCGCCTGGGTTATACTCGTCTATCTCTATTGCCTTCAGTATTCCCTGTGAGTGTCATATTCACAGAGCCCTCTTTTCTAATCATGTATCAGTCTCTTTCTGATTATAAGTATATTTGTTCATTTTTTTTTTTTTTTTTTCGTTAAAACTTCGCATTTTTCATACTGTCAGCTTATATTATTACCGGCATCAGTCTGTTGAATCCCATTTGTTTGTAGTTCTGTTTTTTTCTTTTTTAATCATTCCGCCCCAAGCAAAACGATAATGCACGAGACAAATTTTTTTCCGCGGTAGGTTGCCATTTCTTTCTGCAGTCTACCAGTTGCCATCAAAGGCTATAGAACCTGATTCATCCATTTATAAATATGGATTTTTTTATCCGACATTATTTTCTACTACACCAAAGGATATTTTGTAGATACCCATATTTGAGTAAACGCCCTGTATTTATTTATTTATTTATTTATTTATTTATTATGAACAGTTTATTGCGAATTCGAGAAACTTAAAAAAATAAATATACACTCCGGAAAAGGTTCGAACGTGTGTCAGTTTCTGCTACAAGGTGGAACGCAGTTTCGGCTAAACTGTTAGCCTTTTTCAAGATTTTTTTTGTTTTTTTTTTTGTTTGTTTTTTTTTTTATCCTGCTATAAGCAATGGTGTGTAAGTGCTATAGTCGACAGTATAAAAATTGTTGAAAGTAGACATATTTTTTAATTACCAAATACGCCATCTATCACTTTTAAGGGCTTTGCATTGGCGGGTATGTATAACAACCAGGTTCTCGTATTCGTGTTTCGCGTATTAAGAATATCTCATAAAGTCCGAAAAAGAAGACACTTGTAAGTATACAATATATATATATATATATATATATATATATATATATATATATATATATATATATGTATGTATGTATGTATGAAGGCGTGCACGTGTGTGTGCTATAGTTTGAGATAAATGCTTGTATTCATAGAATAAAGTCATTTATGGCTGAATGGAATATCGTTGCAGATATGTGGATATATTTATGGTATTCATGAATGAATGTACTTATTATAGTACAAAGATAGTTTTGCGACGATTTTTCAAAAAGGGGAGGTTCCAACACTCCTTGAACAATTACAGACGCTGGAGGCAAAGAATAAGTATTCTAACCACCGGACAGGTCCAAAGCAAATAGATAGATAGATAGATAGATAGATAGATAGATAGATAGATAGATAGATAGATAGATAGATATACACAACATATCTTCATTATATATATATATATATATATATATATATATATATATATAAATAAACCCTTTCTGAAACGTAATATAAGTGCACTGAACAATTATAAAGAGTTCGTCTACGGTGCAGAATATTAGTTAAGCAACAAATTTTATATTTGTATTAACCCTATGTGTATACATATACACACACGTTATGTATGTATGTATGTATATATATATATATATATAATGATAGTAACACACTTATATACATAGTCACGAATGATAGTAAGTTTTTAATTTTATACATATATTAAATTGAAAACTTACTATCATTCGTGACTATGTATGTATGTGTGTGAATATATATAAATGTAGAGAGACAGAGAGAGAGAGAGAGATATGTCTAAAGAAAATGGAAATACACCAACGAATGAACATGTAAATTATACTAAAATCTATAAATTAAGTTAATGAATGGATTTAATAAATAAATATGAACTTACTTTGCCCGCTTCTTTTATGCATTTAGGGAGTGATATCAAATAAACCAAATACTTTGCTGGAGAACATATACACTTGTATTCCTCCTGAGCATTCAGTCGTTTCTTTTCAGTTGCTTTTTTTTTTTTAATTTTTTTTTTTTTTATTTGCGTTCCTTGTCGATTCAACAAGTCACAGGTAAGTTGTTATTCACGCAGCTTCGTTACGTTCAGCGGAAGACCGCCACTATGGGATACCTTGACAGGATCGAACTCGTTACTGACGTTCTACCTGTGTAGTTTGCTGACCAATTGCATGACGATGAGACGCCCAACTCCGAGTCAATTCATATTATTCGTATGTTGTTTGTTTTTTGCTTGTTTTTAGTTGTTTTTTTTTTTTTGGTTTTTTTTTGTTTTTTTTTTGTTTTTGGGTTTGTCTGTTTTTTTTTTTTTTTTTTTTTTTTTTTTTGTAACGTCACGGAGGAGATACCCAGAGAACACCTGACTAAATTCATGCATCAATCGGTTGTCATCGTTTTCTTACGCTTATATCGTGCGATTTCGCTTCAGATATTCTTCCAGCGAGGGTCCCGTATTTTATTTGAAGTTCTTTTCACACATCCGCCAAGCTGTAGCCAAAAGAAAATAAATATGATAAATGATAAAATACATATATTAAAATAAAACTACACGTAAAATTAACATGTAAGTATAGCTGTAGTGGTAGTAGTAATAATATTAATAATTATTATAATAATATTAATAATAATAATAATAATAATAATAACAATATTATTATTATATATATATATATATATATATATATATATATAAAATTTTCAAAAGTTGATCATAAAAATGGAGAGGAATAAAGGAATACTATTATTATTATTATTATTACTATTCACTTAGTATTAGTAGTATCTAGTAGATTAGCAACAAGTCTATGTCCTAGGTATGACGATAAACTACACCTGGCAGCAAGACCTCTGATCGGGAGATTTTGAGGAGAGTGGAACCATCTCTTAATTACTGTTGTTTCCCGGTCCATCTTGAACCGGGGTGGTAGCACCATTTAGGGTCCCAGCTATGGGCAAATAGTGAAGCCCCACACTGGTGTCAAAAAATGAAAGTATAAAAATACGTTTTCATAGTAAAAGAATAAAAAATTACTAGCAATACGTTATTGGAAAAAAAATTACCAACACATTTTTTGTAAAAAAAAAATTTTAAAATACCAAAACTCACAAAATATTTCGATATTAAATGATACAATGAGTTGATATGCCGTTAAACTAAACTAAAACAAATCTATTCGATAATCGAGCATTTCTCTTAGTATACTATTTAATATACTTAACATACTAAGGTAGTTTTAGGAATACTGTTGTCTAGGTTAGTCGCGTCTTTTTCCTTGATTTCCAATACCCGATTAAACCTTTTTCTTCTATGCGACCATTCTCAGTACTCGTATAGCGACTGGTATGCACTTTCATGTGCCACAACTTCCTCGGCTTAGAGAAAATGGCTGAAATATTTAGCTATCTTTTATATATATATATATATATATATATATATATATATATATATATATATATATATATATACTGTGAAACCCACTATCAAGCATGTTGTCTGATGACCTCTATATCCGGTCTTTTGACCTCAATTGAATCAACTTATTGAATCTGGGAATTCCCCAGGATACTATGTGTATCATTTTCTCGGGCGGATTCTGGCCTATGCATATAGCGTTAATTTTTACAAACAATATGCAATTGCTTGCACAGTTCCAAGTGAAAATACTTCCCACCCATTCATGCCTATTCTGGATACTTTTTTCTTAGCTAATTTCATGTATTCGTTTATTATGTTCTTTAATGTCTTACCTTTATTCCTTCATACATTTGCTATTTTCTTTTTCTTTTAAGAAAGTTTGTTCACTGAGTCGTGCTAAACAATCTTTCTCACCAGAATCCATTTTACACATTTATAAATCTACCATTCTTACTTTCTTTTAATATTACTGACACATCTGGTCAGGTTCTTTTGCCATATATTTAAAGATTATTGATAAAATCCAAAGAAAAATCTGCAATTTTATTGGTCCTGATCTGGCACCTCGACTTCAGTCACCTTCTCACCGCCGTAACGTAGTTTCCATGTTACTTTTGCTATAAATACTTTCATGGTAATTGTTCTGACGAACTTTCGGCTATGGTACTTGTTTTTATAAATTTAAGCGCAGTACTAGATTGGTGAAAAGGTGTCATCTTTTTACAGCTGAAATGGCTAAATGTAAACATAAGTCCTATGCTAACAGTTACTTCTATCGCACTTCTTGCATGTGGAACTCTCTCCTTGTTTCTTGCTTCCTAGTGAACTTTGATCTTTAAAAATTAAAAGCAATGTCAATCGTTATCTTCTGTCATCTTTATTCTTTTATTGTCCTCTCTCCTTAATAGTATTTTTTCTCATATTCTCTAACAAAAAGTAAACCTCTTGCGTCTGAATGGCTTTATTGCCTTGCTTGGGCTGAAATGATTTTTTTAAATCATCATGGCATTTATATAGTGTCTTATTATTTGATAAAGAACTGTTCACTCCGGCATCCAATGTAAAATAGATATGGTCGTTCCTTGTCATGGTAGAGGGCTTACTTGTCCCAGTGATCCCAAGAGCGAAGCCTTTTGGAGTCCCAATTCCTGTAGGGCCACGCATGGCGATAAAGTCGAAGAGGAAGGATCAGAGTGAACGCAATCAACCCCCGAAGACCCCAACGGCGGAATAGGCAAAGAACTACACAATCTCAACAGCCAACCCGGCGGAAGGGAGCAGCGTCTGTCAGGCTGGCGTAACCAAGGCGGACCATGATAGAACAAGCATCCGACAGCCTAATGGAACCAGGTTTGCCAGATTTTATCTGCCTCAATTCCATTTGGGTCGCGTGGGAGGTGTTTCTGGCCAAGTGTGTGGGCTTCTCCGAGTTGCGTCTGAATGGCTTTATTGCCTTGCTTAGGCTGAAATGTTTTTTTTTTAAATCATCATTGCATTTATATAGTGTTTTATTATTTGATAAAGAACTGTTCACTCCGGCATCCAATGTAAAATAGATATGGTCGTTCCTTGTCATGGTAGAGGGCTTACTTGTCCCAGTGATCCCAAGAGCGAAGCCTTTTGGAGTCCCAATTCCTGTAAAGAAGTGGATGGAGATCCCGATGGAGATCCTGGAAGAGTGGATGGAGATCCCGATGCTCCGATGCGTGAGTTATTATTATTATTGTTGTTGTTGTTGTTGTTGTTTCTGTTGTTGTTGTTGTTGCTGCTGTTGTTTCTGTTGTTGTTTTTGTTGCTCCTATAATCATACGAAGTCCAGTGGACTTTGTATATTTATACCCCAACGTCACGTTGTTGGCGTGCTGTTCTATCACTCACCACCAACAATACCCCCATCCTGACACCCAATCAGATAAAAGTATACCAGGCACATGCATCATAACCAAATGTGAAAGTTATGCTGACAGGTTTTGATAAAAAAAAAACAAAACAACAATAAAACAAAAAAATCGCACATAACCTCGCAGGCGGAGCTCAGTTAGAAATATCTTCAATTGAGGTAACCCAGTTCACTCAGACAATTTCCAATTGAGGGTGTTCCCAGGTATCTAGCTATGAATCCGAAGTCGCCTTGACTAACTCATCCTCCAAACTTAAAAAGCGACCTTCTCCACACCCGGTCATGATGATCCTCTATTACTCCCGCTCATGAACAGATATGCAAAGTGTATCAGCTCCTAGCAGGCATGCACAAATGGCTATAGTCAGGCAACTGACGAGCAAATCTGTGGTACTGAACAGAAGATTTATTGTAGCCTGCCTATATTATTAGTAGTTCAAGTAGTAGTAATAGTACTAGTAATAGTATTAGTATTATTATTTTAATTCCTTTGATTTCTGGTGTATACTTTCTTTCCGGTCCCAACCAGAGACCTAAGGTCAAAATGGCATCATGACATTCACTACTGTTCATTTTTGTAAAAAAAAAAAAAAAATCACACAGATTTTACATAGATAAAGCCCTTCGTAAGTTGTGTTCTGTACTTGTGAGAACAATTTTTTTTTGTATTTCTTTAAAGCATGGGCTACCAGAAACTACTTCAGTGAGTTTATTGGAATCTTTTCCAATCAATCCGAGGGCTCCAACTACAACTGGAGTTGTTGATGTCCTCATGTGCCACATTTTTGAGATTTCGATTTCAAGGTCCTTGTATTTTGATAGTTTTTTGAAGATCTGCAAAGATACATTAGAATCTACAAGGACTGCCATATTTTTCTTTGCAGTCACTAATCACGTTGTCTGGACGATTAGCTTGTTCTGCGTGTGTGTATTGTAAAGTCGCATTATTATTATTATTATTATTATGATAATCTCTTCTTCTGTACGGTTTTTCGTTTTCAGCCAGAGATCTTGCATGATGGGTGTTCTCCCATCAAGTCGTACGACCTCAAACAGATAGCACCAATCGCAGAATATTGGCAGAACCAAGCAACGCAAACTTCCGAGGCGATAGAATACAAAGCTTAATGCCGATTTTCTTAATGCATGCCTTTGAATTTGTTGATACAGACCCAACTCGTTTATAATAAATGGGACAATCGTGACTTGAACGTCCAACATTCTGACAATCTAAATCCGATCAGTTCGGATTGAGATTGAGATTGAGATATACTTTAATGCTTTTAAGTTTCTTTGACCTTGATCCCTAGGAACAGCCACATCGATGAGGAGTTATTATTATTATTATTATTATTATTAAGGCTTTTCTTAGGAACAGATTTTATAAGTATTTGAGTAGTGTATTTTAACATAATTATTATTTCAAATAAAGAGCGATTTTCTGGGATGTATTAGAATTATTCTTAATTATTCCTTGTGATCTTCCTACTACTTGAATAATAGTTATGTTTTCATTTCTTTAAATCATTTCCCCACAAGCAAGGCGTTAGTGTCACTGGGACGCAAGGGGTTACAAAAAGTGGATGAGTATGAGAAGACTTCAGTGATGAGAAACGCCAATAAATGTACAGGTTTCAGGAAGATGCAAAAAGGTTGTATTTATGTTCGATTTAGATTTTTGAAGATTGTGGGTGGCAGAAAAGCAAGAAGCCAGAAGAGAGTTCCACAGACGAGAAGTGCGGGGAAATAAACTATTAAAATAGAACTTACGGTGACATCCTGCTATTTGAACAGTAAAACGATAAGACCTAGTCAGCCAATCTAGTAGTACGCCTAAATTTACGCGCTCTAAACGGTTCTTACCTTATTGTAAATTCTATTTTCAGGTTCTTATAAATGAAATGTTTATCAAAATCTTTCGCCGAAATGTTTCTTTCAGTCGGTATAATCATGTCGGCCAGTTAGCATCCCTATACCTCTGAAGTCTTTCCATGACAGTATCTGGTCCATTAGCTTGTACAGTACGGTTACTGAGTATGCTAAAGTTATGCAATAAAATAACACTCACCTTCAAGAAATGGTAGTGGTTTTTGTCGTTGTCATCATCATCGTAAGCATTGTTGTTGTTTTTGCTATTATTATTATTATTGTATCGCATATTGATGTAGTCAAGAGAAATTCTGTTCTTGAGGCATGGTGCTAACAAGACTCCTTACAACTAAAGAACTTTCCGGAGAATCCTCGCAGAAAAAGATTTGCAGATTTCTAGAGATTTTAATCTTAGTCTCCATTACAATTTTTTGTAAGCGCTCTTTCAAGTTCCTAGGTGGTGTTCCAGGTGCTCCCATTACTCCTTGAATTACTTCAAAAGTCATTTCCCATAGCTTTTTCAAATCCCTAGCCTGAACTTTGTATCTTTCTATCTTATCGGTTTCTTCAAAGTCCACACTTGTATCGTATGAATCTTCAAAATCAATAATTTGACACTTTGCTCGTCTATAATACGAAGGTCGGGCCTTCATGAAATGATTTGTCTTGGACGCTAAATCCCATAAGAAATATATTTCCACCCCATCACCACCAACAAAAGAGGTTTTAAATTTTTGTTCTGTTTTAAACGTTTCATTCCATCGTAAAATCATGAAAACAAGTTCAGAAATCGTTACTATAGCAACATTGCTACGTAGAAACGCAGTGGTTAATTCGAAAATTAAATCATTTCCTGCGATTATGTATATTTTCGTCAGACTTCTTCAACCTTTAGAGTGAAGCAATCCTGAAAGAATTAGAAGTCCTACCAGTTCAGCCACAATCTTAATAATATTAGATATGCAGATGACACAGTGTTGATAGCAGACACATGAATTAAACTACAAGAATTCCTATAGAACTAGTAAAGGTAAGCGAAAAGAAAATATTATATATCA